TGTTTCATAAGTTATTCACATGAGCAACACAATCACACACTGCTTTCATGCTCCTACAATCTCATGTCCTCTTTTCACGCTTATGCCCTCCTTTTCTATTTCTTCTTAATATTTTTTTTCTTTGATTTTATAATGTAAGTGTTATATGAAAATTAAAATTCACTTGTTAAATGTGTATATTAAGTTAAAGGAATATGGATTGCAGATGAAAAATGACGTAATTGGTACATTGGGAGAAAATGCATCATTCAATCTGTATCTAATGCTGATTTATTCAAATATAAAATACCAATAATTTATATTTGATTATATTAACTGCACCCTTTTTTTTAATTGCACTGAAAATGGTAGATATTTAACCAGTCACGTTTTCACTATTTTGTGCATTTATAACATGATAACAAATCACGAGAGCAAAATTAAATGACTGATTTTCCTTATTTCATACGTTTAAAAGGAAGAAACCAACACGGAAAAGAAAATGATATACCTTTAAATTCACGAAATATTGATTCTATTTCCAGTAAAAAGTGTCATCATAACTTGCAAAAATAGAGATTAATAACCACTGAACTACAATAAAGCAAGACGAAATTGGTGGCAATGCATAATAGAAATGGTTTGAAAACCGGTTTAAAACTTTAACGTTGGAATAATGCTTAAGATTTATTTTTCATATAAAAATCTCCATGCAGGGACGTTTGAACATTGTCAAATTCTAAATTTTCAAATTCCCACTTGAATGGTTAAGGAAGTCTATAAAACAGTATATTATGTGCTTTTTCTCTATATGTTTTTTATATTTTTCTTGTTATGGTCCTTTAAAAGCCTTAATATACGGCAAGTGATTGACTCTGCTTTGCATATTATAAAAAGGGTAGCATAGAACTCAATTGCTTCAAGCAAATAGTGGCAGAGAAAGTAAAAGCAAAACACTTTGGTGCTTCTCCAAGGTAGTGAGCATGAGAACTTGCTTTTCCTTCTTGTTCATGCTCACATTGTTGTCGTTGGGAAATGTCCAATGCAACCCAAATTATAGAGAAGCATTGGCAAAATCATTGTTATTTTTTCAAGGCCAGAGGTCAGGAAGGCTTCCTACTGACCAACAAATCTCATGGAGATCCAGTTCTGGCCTTTTTGATGGTCGCTTAGCCAATGTAATAATCTTTTATTCTCATTATCTTCTCACATCTTGTTTTGTTCTGTTTGCTTCTTTTAATTCAACAAAATATTGGTGCATTCCAATCTTATATATCTTCTTGTGTTTGTTACTACTTGTAGGTTTTAGTAGTAAAATTCTAATTTGTGTTTCAATGTAGGGGTATCTCTTTGTTAGTTAATAACTCTTTTTTACTCTGCTTCGATGCTAGTTTTCTTGAATTCATTTTTTCTTTTTTGGTTGAGTCTTATTTTCTTGCATGTTTGGGGGGCATTTGTATTACCCAAATTTGTTTTTTATGATGTCAGATTGAATTTTGCAAAAAATAATATTGTTTGTTTTTTAAATTGAAGTTTGCTTGTAGAAGTACAATATGATCTATGTATGAAGATGAGAGTTATATATTAAAATTTACGATGATTTTTTTAAATATAAATGATTTTACCTAACTGCCAACAATGGTATATGACTTCGAGTGAATTTTGGTGGGCGTTATCCGATTGCTCTGTAGACTGTAGTGATTTAATCAGGAAAAGGACCGCTGTAAACATTAAGTCAGCGGCTTCAACGACGCCGAATATTGATAACTGCATTCACTCCTTTTTCAAACGATTGAAGTAACTCATTATTTTCACTATTTTATGTATGAAATTTTCAAATTAAAATTGCAAAAGCATTTTAGTTATTGAATTAAAATTATTTATGATAATATTATATGATAAATTCTCCAGTGCTCTGAAAAGTAAAAAAATATCCTATACTCTTATATCGTTAATTAATCATAACTATTAATTTTAGTAGTAAAATTAGTAATATATTTAAAAAATTCATAAATATTCTTTAATATCTTATTATAATTTAGAAAAAGTATTCAATGCTCTTTCAAGCTTAGGAATACCGTAACAAGCACTATATTATATTAGTTCATTTAACAACAATTGTCAAAATATTGTGTGCAAGTCATATGCATAGTTATCATTCTTATCAAACGATGTACTTAGAAAATAGTTAATAACAATTATCATAATAACAAATGTATTAATAATCTTTTCAAAAGTTCTTCATTAAAAATGGTTACATTACATACAATTGATTAATAAATGTACTTTGTTTGGCAGGTGGATTTAAGTGGAGGATACTACGATGCAGGAGACAATGTGAAATTCAATTTTCCAATGGCATTCACCACTACAATGCTATCATGGGGCACACTTGAATATGGCAAGAAAATGGGACCCCAAATCAAAGAAGCAAGGGCAGCAATTCGTTGGGCCACGGACTACCTCCTCAAGTGTGCCACATCCACACCTGGTAGGCTCTATGTTGGGGTTGGAGACCCAAATGTAGACCACAAATGTTGGGAGAGGCCAGAAGATATGGACACTGTTAGATCTGTGTATTGGGTCTCTCCCAATAGTCCTGGTTCAGATGTAGCTGCTGAAACTGCTGCTGCCCTTGCAGCTGCATCAATTGTTTTCAGAAGGGTTGATCCAACATACTCTAAGCTGTTGTTAAGGACTTCCCAACAGGTTTACCACTTTGCTTTGCAGTATCAAGGTTCTTATAGTGATTCACTTGGATCTGCAGCTTGCCCATTTTATTGCTCATATTCTGGTTTTAAGGTAAAATCATTTTCTTTTTAGTTGCTAGTGTTTAATGCCTATTTGTGGTTTTCAATCAATGTTGTTTGATTGGACATGCAATGTTGGGTGGAGGTAACTTTATTTGTTTTCTAGGATGAGCTATTGTGGGGAGCTGCATGGCTTTTCAGAGCAACAAATGCTGTCTACTACTATAATTTGGTGAAGTCATTAGGAGCCGATGATCAACCAGATATCTTCAGCTGGGACAACAAATATGCTGGTGCACATGTCCTTCTCTCAAGGGTACTATATTGGCTATTGTATCATCATTGATTGAAAAGTATGAAGAGTCAATTAGTTTGTTTGACTCTTGTTTGTTTCTATTGTTATTGTTAATTGTTGCTGCAGAGATCACTGCTGAATGGTGATAAGAATTTTGATCAATACAAGGAAGAAGCAGAAAATTTCATGTGCAAGATCCTGCCCAACTCTCCGTCTTCAAGTACACAATATACACAAGGTAAAGGCAACATTGCTACTTTGTTTCAAATAAGCAATGTCATACAAATGGATCAATCAGAGTCATGCATTACCAATATTCAAGAAAATTCCAACCTACTCATACATGCAAAAATGCAATTCTCAAGTGCTTTTGTGCTACCTTTGAATTTTGAAGTAATAGCATTATGTAATCCAATAGTTTTCTAAATAATGTCAAGAATGGAAAATAATGTCATGTAACTGTTAAATATTACCAAAAAAAAAAATTGCACCCTCGATCAATATGCTTTGAAGTACATTAAAAGTATATAAAAGGCACTATTTTATGTGTTACTTCTATTTATGGGCAGGGGGACTCATGTTCAAGCTTCCTGATAGTAATCTTCAATATGTGACATCTATAACATTCTTGCTTACAACATATTCAAAGTATATGTCAGCTACAAAACATACATTTAATTGCGGCAATGTCCTTGTAACTCCAAATACCTTAAGGAGTGTTGCCAAAAGACAGGTAAGTCTCATTATTTCAACCTAAGTAAGTTCAATATTCTCTTCTCTTTTCCCTATTTCATTGTTAACAGAACTCTCTGTAAAATTTCAGGTTGATTACATATTAGGAGAAAACCCATTAAAAATGTCTTACATGGTAGGTTATGGTCCGTATTTTCCTAAGAGGATTCACCACAGAGGATCTTCCTTGCCTTCAATAACAGTTCATCCACAAACCATAGGCTGTGATGGAGGATTCCAACCATTTTTCCATTCCATGAATCCTAATCCTAACATATTAATTGGAGCTGTAGTTGGAGGTCCAAACCAGAATGATGGATTTCCAGATGACCGTAGTGACTACAGCCATTCTGAACCTGCAACTTACATCAATGGTGCTATTGTTGGACCTTTGGCATACTTTGCTGGTATCCGTTAATGTCTGATTGACTTAAATTGGAAGGTTAAGTAGGACTTGGTTATCAAGTGTAGATATTACCTTATCTCCACCCAACCAAGGGATGTCTACCTACCCCAAAAATGGATGGTGGACTTTGAAGTTAGTGGTGTTTATTTTCAGTCCTTTGATACAAAAATGTAACTTGCAGCAATCATATTCCAATATATATTACTATGATTTACGCCACATGGTGCATCATAATACCTAAAGTTTTTGTCATCGCATATAACAGTTAGGCAGGCTCATCTGCATCCACCCCTCCCTGTCCCAACTTTTCTCCTTTTATTCTTTTCATAGTAATATAAAAAATGCTAAATTCAGATCCTTCAAAATACATGAGATATATTTTGAGGAACAATATGCAGAGTTGGTAACTGCTAGTGTGAAAAAAAAAAAAGATGAAGCACAAAGTTAACAACTTGTAAAGGGTAAATAAATAAAATTTTCTTGGATACAGAAATAAATGAACTTAAGAGAACTCACACTACTCACCAGCAATTGCTGGGAAAAAAATGCACCAAGCACAATCTAGATTCTCACATTCTCTTTTAGAATTATTCATTTTACTATTTTGAACCATCAATATTTTATTAAATCATTAAAATAAGTTATATTATAATTTATAATTAGCCTAAAACTTAGAATAATGTGTCTCCCAAGACAATATGCAAGCAACATTTTCAGTTCATTGGAATAACTTGCCAATGTTTCTCTTGGGAAAAAAATACAAGCTCAAAGAGTCTCATCTAAACACATTTTGACAGCTAGTATATATATATGTGTGTGTGTGTGTGTGTGTGTGTGGCTATAGTTTGGATAGCAACAAAGCTAGCTCCTCATCAGACACCTTAACTTCAACATAAGATCCTAAGGATGCAGCAAGTCTTGCAGCTAACTGATGTTTACACTGGAATACAAATGCATATTGTATATTTCAGAACTAAAAAATATGAATGTTTATAATCAATTGAAGATAATGAAACAAGCATATGGCCTTACACAAAGTTGTTCTCCTCTGCTAACAACATCATAGAAGAAAGAATAACAGGCACAAAAGTTTTCAGCAAAACACAGATATTGGTCTTTTCTTCGGGATTCCCCCATAACCTAAACAAGTGGAGAGTAAATACATAATCCAAAAACAAAAAAAGAATGATTTTGTAGGTTCTCAAAATTGTCATGCAAAGCCTAAAAAAATTATTTATTTTAAAAAATTCAAAATTCGTTTTTTTGGAGTAGCCATGTTTCTGAAAATTTAGATTTTGACCGAGCACAATGGCATTGTGTGATTCATATAGCGGACCTCACTTAGTGAGATAAGGCTTGATTGCTGTTTTGAAAAATTCAAAATTTGAAAATCATAGCCACTACATTTTTCATTTTGGCCAACTTGTAGCTCCTGTAAAACTATATATCTCACAGCTCTTTATTTTTACCACACCACCTCCCTTGACCCTCTGACCTCTCTATTTCATCAAATAACTCATCATATTTACCACTCTCTCTCTCAATGGCATTGAGTGATCTATATAGTCGACCTCACTTAGTGAGATAAGGCTTGATTGTTGTTGTAAAAAATTCAAAATTTGAAAATCATAGCCACTATATTTTTCATTTTGACCAACTTGTAGCTCTTATAAAACTATATATCTCACAGCTCTTATTTTTTACCACACCACCTCCCTTGACCCTTTGACCTCTCCATATTTCTCTCTATTTCATCAAATAACTCATCATATTTACCACTTTCTCTCTCTTCTCTAGTGTATACACCCAATGATAGAAGTGATAAAATCAATTATCTAACTAACTTAGGCTCCATTGGATTGGGCTAAAAATGTCTGTTTTTTATTTGAACAACAAAACTGAAGTATAAGCCCAACCTGAACTCAATAAAAAAAGTTCAGATGAGTTTGACAAAAGAATTCCATAATCAATTTAAAACTCTGTCTGTCTTTTTTTTTTACTTTCTAAATTTAAAAGTGCATTTGGATACACAACTTATTTAAGCAAGTTCTTTTTAAACGATGACCTGCCATAAATTTAACTATGAAACTTGTTATGATAAACTGAAAATAAGTTATAGCAAAAAACTTATTAAAATATGCTGCAAAAAGCTTATGGGAGTCGTAAGCTATTTCCATAAGCTAGGTTGACTGACCTAAATAGGGTTATTTTAAAACTAATTTTTAAAATAGAGAATTTGGTAAACGAAACATCAAAATGAGTAGTTTCAACTGTAAAATTGCAGGGAAAGGCTAAAACAAAAGGTGTTATACACCAGACACATTCACTTGTGGCGTCTTTTGCTTTAATTTTTCTGTCATTTTACTATTGAAACTATTCATTTTGGTATTTTGTTTATAAAATAACCCAATTTGGGTCAATCAGACCGATAAGCTAATTATAAGCTCTAAGAAGTCCTATGTTTTGGCGAGATTAATTGGGCCAGCCTGATTCATTTTGCTACCTCTACCTAACTCACAAGGTTTGAAAAAAAAAAGTGATTTTTGAAATTATGTATCCAATTTTTGAGCAAAATTTCCAGAGCTACTGAGTGGAAAGGAAAGCAAAGAGAGGTGTAAAGGTAAAACCTGAAAGATGAACCTTCCACTAGGGTGAGCAGAAATCTTGTTGACACCTCTTTGATCAACAATTCTAGTGGCTCCCTCAAAGTTCTTGGCAAATAGGAAATGCAAACTGGCATTGAAAACAATACAACTTCAATTGAACCACAAATTACGCTAATAAGATTTGAAAAGAACACAAAGGAATAATGGGAAGCAATTCACTTACGTCCATAGTTGATCATCATTCACTGTGACATGAAAATAAGAGGTTGTTGGATCAGCGTCAATATTCGGGTTATAGAAAGTTCTAGAAAGTAACTAAGTAAGTTAGTTAGCTACCTGTCCGTGTAGACTCAATTTCCTTCCATATTGCCTCTGCAACCAAACTGCATTCACTCATTTTATATTATTGATTACTGAAAATATAATAATATATCATTTTCAGTTTCTTGTATTAATCGATGAATAATGAAGACAAGAGAAGAAGATGGAGATGATGGAGGAGAAACCTTAATTGATTAATGATACAAGCAATTCAGAGACACGCTTTAACTTTACTTTCGTATCAGAGAAAAGGTAAACGAATGAAAGCACGGATATAAACATGGCCCAATTAGGTTCTACAAAAAATCTTCACCACGACCTTCTAAATTCTTCTTGGGCTTTCTCTTTCAAAATGAACTTCACACAAATTTCACCTCCTTTTTATTTTTTTACATCACCATAGTTTTCTTCTATAATTTTTTTTCTAAAATGTCTTTAACAAAAATTTAAATTATTAAATAAAAATAAAAAAATTCTGAAATTAAACAATTTCTAAACTTTATTTTTTAATTAAATTTTGGAATAACTTTTTTTTTAATACTTTTCATCTCTATTATATTGCGTGTTTTTTTTTCTCTCTCTCTCTCTACTGATCTAAGCAGCATTACTCTTCACATACCATCAATTATATCGAATATATTAGAGAAAGCTTAATACAATTACAAATAACGCAGCATTCACTTTGGCAAAGCCAGAGATTTTATACCTTAAGGGAAAGCAGCATTCACTCAGAATAACATCTGAAAAGAAGTAAAAAAGAAAAATTTTAAAATCTGCAAGTGACGCCAAAGATCCACAGCATAAGCAAGTTGAAAATTTTAAAATCAAACAAAAACCCAGAAAAGGCTATTTATTTCCCCAAACATGGGGTTAAAAATGAAGGTGAACTAGCACTAGAAGATCATAGAGAAAAAAAAGTCACATATAACATACCTGATGCATGTGCGGTTGTTGGGGACGAGATTTGATTTGATTCACAGGAGAAGTGAACAAAAGAAAGAGAGAAGAGGAAGAATCAATAGACGAAAGTGCCACCGGCACGAGGGACAGAGCGAGTACTCACAACCATAACTCAAACCGTGTAAGGCTTTTTAATTTAATTATTGCTTTTTTAAAAATAAAATACTAAATTTTATTTTTATTTTTTAAATTAATTTTCTGCCTGGGTAAGGTATATGGCTTATGTGGCACAGTTTCGTCATTACGCTCGCAAAATTCTTTTTTATTTTTTTATTTTTAAATTAGTATCACCAAAAAAAAACCTAAAAAATATAGGATTGTGTTAAGTGTAAAATAGGTACAAGTTTCGCCACTAAAATTGCAAAATTAACGGCAATGTATACACCTGTGGAGTGATCCTACAAATTTTGTCATTAAAACTGCTAAAACTTAAAGTGTATTATTTAAATGATGACGAAACTTGCCCAACTTTCTTTTGTCCAAATTTTTTGAAAGTTACATATGGGATAAATTTTGCATTTAAAAAATGGACGGAGGATTTTGAAAGAGTAGCATACATGGTTAGTTCCGTATAAGTTATTTTTAACATACTAATATATTTAATTTTTAAGTATGAAATTAATTACTATTATTAATTTAATTTAAATTAAATATATATTAAATAATATATTATTTCTTCAAGAAATAAGTAAATTTTTATTAGAATTTATTTGTAACAATCATAAAATTTATTTGTTTTTAGTAGAATTTATGAAAAAAAAGAAAGAATGAGATTTGAAGGAATGAATTTTAAAATAAATAAGAAAGTTATTCAAATAAAATGAGGATTAAGTTTTGAAGCATAAAAAAAAATCATTTTAAATTTAATTTTGGTTGTAATCATATTATTTTTAAATAAATTTTACGTTTTTTGGTTGATGAAAATGCTAGATAATATATAATTTTAAAAATATATTTGATGATAAAGATATTAATTATATAATAAGTGCATATCAACAACAACCGAATAGAACTGATATTGAGTAATATGTGGATGTCATTATTAGTGAAAGTTCATCAATTTTATCTTGAACTTAAATTTATAACTTTCACAACGCAATAATAAAATTCTTGTGAAATATGATTATTATGAAGATAAACTTAATATTTACAAATTATTTTAGTAATAAATTTATTTGTCAAGAATAAAATTTAAAAATTTGTTGCATTTAAAAAGTTTGGAAGGCAAAGTAAAAAGTCATTGTAAATGTGTTTGGTGATTGAGACAAATCATACACTATATTGTCATGCTAGTTAGAGTACATGTAATTACATACTCCTAGATCTATTTATCATATTGAAATTAAGGAGTATGTGGTTAATCATAAGTGGATAACAAGTTTAAAGTATTTCATCAGTTGTACTAGTAATTTTGTCTTGAAGCTTTCAAAATTTGTAAACCTTAATACAAGCAGATAACATGTTCTTATATAGTAAGTATCGTCATATGTTATTCATTGCAACAACTCAAAATGGAAATAATTGTGTCCTAATATATTTTGCAATTGTTGAAAGAGAATCTCTATTAGCATGAGAATGATTTTTTACAATGATTCTTTTGCATGTTAAAGATAAATCAATAATTTATTTGATATTGTATCGATATGAAAGTATGTGCATATGTATGTTGTAGGTTTTTATGATGCTAAAATGACAAGAAGAAGGAAACTCAATGGCATGAAGATTCTTGATGAAGAATAAGCAAAATGGCAAAGACAAATGATTAGAATATTTAGATTTTAGAAAAATTTGTTAAAAGTTTTTCTCTCTAATAAGTTTATTGGCCAGTTTAAATTAATCAAATTTTACTCAAAATAAATTTTAAGATATTTATTTTGATTTGAGGAAAGAGTAAACGATGATTGAAAACTATCAAAAAAGTGGTAAAACTTCAATCTTACAAGTTCTGAGTTTATTGTAATTGATTATCAAACGATGATTGAAAACTATCAAAAAAGTGGTAAAACTTCAATCTTACAAGTTCTGAGTTTATTGTAATTGATTATCCTACACAATAATCAATTATCATGTTGTTCTTATACCCAAAGTTCAAAATCTCATCTATGAAATCAATTACACAGTCATGTAATCAATTACCAGAAAGTGACAATTGCCAGTTTTTTAAATTTTGAACTATGTAATTGATTACAAGTTCATGTAATAGATTACCAAAGACCAGAATATGCAAAAATGTGCATTTTGAAAAGATGTATCCTTTTGAATTAATTTCTAACAGTCCATACAAATTGTTTAATATAAATAACATTTACTAACACTTTCAAACGGTTAGAAAAACGCATTGCAAAGATCAATTGAATGATCATTCTCATTCATCAATCATCTTACTTAAATCTTGGCCAAATTCTCTTATTTTTTTAAGAAAACTTTGTAGGACTTCAAGTTGTATTATTTTCTCTATTCAGAGAGTAATTTCTTGTATTATTATCAAAGTTGGGAAAAGGGTGAGGAATCCCTTGTAAAAACAAGAGTGTGGTATCTCTTGACTATTGAGAGACTCAAACATAAAGAGTGAGGGATCGCAAGGTGTAAGACGAGTTTTTGATTGTAAAGATTAAAAGAAGTAATGAAATTTACAAGTAGGTTGCTTGAGAAAACTGGACATAGGCCACAAAGTGAGTGAATCGGTATAAATCAAGTTTGCAATATTTTTTTTTCCTTATCTCTTTAATTTATTGCAAATCTATTTTATTGATAGTTTGTTTGTTTACATTAATAGACTCTCAAATCTCTTGCATTTTCATCTATTAAGTTAAGTTTGTGAGTTAAATTCTTAAATATTATAGAAAAATATTGTAGACTGTGAAATCTAAAAAAAAGTTTATAAAATCAATTCACCCCATTCTCTTGAGTTCATTGAGGCCACTTAAATAAAAAAGTATTAAAAGAGCAATGTCAAATCCACACATTGAGTGGCAAATAGCAACCTCCAAATGCTTATTATGTATATTACATTTGTTATATTGCTAGCAATTGAAATCACATGTTTCATTTATGTTATTTGTAAGTTATACACCATTCAAGGTAATATTTAAGAAAAAATTGAGAAGATTTCGTAACGAATTGGAAAATACAAAGGTGAATTGATAACTTATCAAAGGAGAAATGGGCATTGACCTATGATGAGGAAATGTGACGTTATAAACTTATGACCACAAATCTTGAAGAAGCAGTTAACAAGGTTTTGAAAGGTATTAGAAACCTAACCATAACTGCACTTGTAAAAGCCATGTATAAACATTTGGTTGAATATTTTGTGAAACACAAAGAAGAGGCTATGTCTAACCTTAACAATGGAAGCATGTTTTGTCATAAAATAATGCTACAAATAAAAAAAAATAACACAAAGCTTTGTTACACCATGTTCATTTATATGACATACAAAGAATAAATTTTGAGGTTAAAGAAGTGTTTAATTCAATAACACAAAGGAGTAGTCACAAATAGAGCATTATATTATCTATGAGGTATTCTGAATGCAAAAGATTTTAGGCATACTGATTTTCATGTTCACATGCAATAACTACATGTACTACTGTGAATATTGATTTTTGACAATATATTGATCTTTTTTGTTCAGTGCAATATGTTGTGAATGCATACTTGTCACAATGTTAACCTCTCGACAATGAAAGTCACATTCTTATAAAAAGTGAATAGAAGTTGGTATTTGATGATCAAAGAGCAAGAGGTAAGGATTGACCAAAGTCAACTTGTATTATAAACAAAATGGACTCAGTTGAATCATAAATTAGACAACGATGTAGGAATTGAAACCAAGTCGGTCATAACCAATGCCATTGTCCTTAACAAAACCAAACTGATGCTCACAAGTAATAGTTGTTAGTTGATTATGAACCTATCGATGTGTTTACTATTTAATGCAAGTGTTATTAAGCATGAAATTAGCCACTATAAAGGCAAATGATAAATACTGAATTAAGACATAAACATAGAATAATACATCTAATAAAATAAACAAGTGTACAACTACAAGATGCATAAATACCATAAAGTACTAAAAACTAAAACAAACAGCTACATATAATACAGTTAGTGGTCATCCCTCTTCTGATCCTGATACTCCTAATCTAATGGGATCAATATGCATTGCCTAAGTCTATCTTAAGCTCCTCGATATGAATTCTGATTCACATTCAAGTTTCTACATATGCAACAATGCTAAAGTCAAATTAATGCCAAGTGCAAAGGGTTGTATGAATGATGTATTAGGAGGTCCTTGAAAGTATAAGGCAAGGGCAGGTGGTGTAAAAAAGGAACTTTCATAGTGAGGAGATGTCATAAACATGTTAAGTCATGGGATGTTATGCATGTTGGGTTCTTTAACTCATAAAAGGTAAAAGAGTCATGCTCATCAATGCTAAAGTAATCCACTCTCTCAAGTGCATTACCCTAAAATAATAAACATTATTTAATTAATATAATCAATATAAATAAACTAACAATCTTAAAAGTATTTACTGTTAATGCCCTAACAGTTTTCATCCTTGGTCATCCAATATCGAGTATGACTAACATATCACTGCATATAATCTGAATTTAAACTCAACAAGCCTTACTGCATCTCATTAGTCATCATCTAGTCTCTCTTTCCCAAATGTCCAACACAACTCTAAATTTAGTGGACCAATTTTTGCCAAGTCTTTTCTTGAAGGGTGAGATCATGTAATTGGTCAGCCTAGAAAGGAATCCTCAGTTTGTGCTGAACCATACCAAATTGATACATCACTTGTTCAGGTTGGTGTCACTCACAAACCTGAAAACATATAAAGGGTACCATCGCCCTTCATAAATCCATGCCGTCTAACAAATATGGGACAACATATTTATCAGTTGCACACTGTATGAAACCTATACAATTTGTATCACGATATTAAAACACCAATTTAATTATACATCTACATACAAGTGAAATATAATAATTTAATATAAAACAAGTGTTTAAACCAAT